AGGACAAATAGTTGATACAAACGTTTAAACTCTTAATACTCAAACTTAAAATGAAAGCTCATTTACTATATTAAGATGTGATAATACATTTCTACCACTCTATTAATCAAACTTCTGACAAGTTGATAACCCTTCTTCTCCACTCGTCATTCCAATTTTAAAACTCAAACGACTTTATACTTTTGTTTATTACTTTTAATTGTTCAAGTTTATCTCATATTCTCTTGTGTGGTGTAATGAATCTTTTGTTCCATTCTTGCAAGAATCAATAACATTCTTCGTACCATAATAATTGCATTTTTTTTTTGTTTCAATTAACTTAATATTCAAAATGCGACCATACTACTGATATAATGTAGCACCCCAATTATTATTATTATTATTTTTTTTGTAATTTTTATATGAATATAATGATTTAGTATGTAATAATATATGGTTTTAATTTAGTTTGATTTAATTAAATAGAAATAATAATAATAAAAATAATAACAAGGGTAAAATTATTTTAGGGATTTAATTGAAAATAATTTTGGATAAAATAGGTGAAAATTTGGGTTCTTGAGGTGTTTTTGAAAGAAAATTAAAAATTGGGGGTCAAAATACAATTTTAAAAAATTACGCCACGTCAGCAGTCTGATCAGCAGCCCCAACCAACCAGGAAACGCCGTGTGGCAGAGGCGCTGACGCGGGAGGCCACGTGGGAGATCTGTGTGCGCGTGATCGAATACTGAGATTCGTTCCCATGCGCACGGACGGCCCAGATCAAAAACGCGTACGAACGGCCCAGATTGCATCGCGATGAATGGTCCATATTCATTTCTTATTTAATCGCGATCGGACAGTCCAGATTAAATCGCGATGGACGACTCAGATTAAAAGCGGATGGTTATAAATAATCTCATCCGCACCCAAACCCTAACCCTAGCCGCCAGAGCCCCTCGCCGGAGAAGACAGCCCAGCCGCCAGGGAGCAGACCGCCGCCACCCTCCGCCGGACCGAAGCAATTTATGGCCGCCAAACGAGGTAAAATTTTTTTTCGTGACTCAGAATTCGAAGTTGAACCCACCTATGGCCAATTTGGAGCAAAAACACCGACCAATTGACCGGAAAATACCGCTGCGAGTTTTCTCGATTTTTGTCTCCGATGAGACCCTTCCTGATTCCCATTCGATGTAAGTTTTACACCATTGTGACCATCGTTCCTTCCCCTACAGGTTGACCAGAGCAAAACACTAAATCGCGACTCGAGCCGGAGGAGTCACCGCACTGGAGAGCCCTGCTGCTGGTAAGTTTTGTTTTTCGGTATTTTTTCGGCCCACCGAGGGCCCTAGGGGTGTTTTCTCATAGGAACCAATGCAAGTTTGGCTGAATTCGACCAAAAACGGCTGAAAACAGCCAATCCGAGGTGAATCGCCGTCGCTGGAGCACAGCGGAGCCGCCGTGCCGGAATTCTGAAATTGGCCGAATAGGCCTTGGGTCTGATTTTTGAGTTATTTAGGACATGTATAGGTACTGTAAGCGCGTTTCAGTTTCCAAAAAATAATTCAGGGAACCCAGGGACTGCTCGTAGGTGCAGTAAAAATTCGATTTTCGACTTCGAATCAGGTAAGGACCTCTCACCTTATTTCCTATTACAGGATTAAAGTCTAATAAATGATAAAATTGTATTTGTATGAATTAAATAGATATACATAATTATTACGGTTTCTAATGGAGACCGAACATGACATATTTTTCTGTCAGTTTCTGTTTGATTTATTTTACAGTCTAAATGTAGTATAGTATCTGATTTATTTATTCTATGGTTTTGAATGCATGAATCACTGTTTACTTCATTATGGCTTGATTTTGTGAATCCAATTATATGCTTGCCTTATTGGATGCTCGTTACTTGTTTAAGTATTCATATTTATGTGAGAAACAGAAAACTAAGAAAAAAATAGAAAATGTATGTGAATTGATAAATGGATAAGTTAACAGTCTCACTAGATATTCTGGGAGATAGTGGACGGACTGGGTCCATAAGAAACTCTACCAGGAACGTTGTCTCATACTGAATAAGGTATGGAGACTTTAAATGTTTTGGTGCTCATACCGGACGAGATATGGGGACGGCCCGTTTCACCCTCATACCGGATGGAGTATTGAGGTTTATTGTTTGGCACCCATACCGGACAGGGTATGGGGACGACCCTGAAAATTAAGTTTGTCAAGGAAATGGTTCACGGGTAGCGGAGACCCCTATAGATCCCCACGGATATTAGTAGGCTGATAAAAAGGGGGCAACTGTTATTATTATGTATGAACTTATGATATTTATGATGTTATTATTTCCATGGGTCATTTTTATAAATTTTACTGAGGTAAGTGGACGGTAAATGGTTTGATTATTGATAAATAAATTTACTTGAAACTTGTGCTCTATTGGTTATTTTTGATTTTCTACCAACATTTACTTCTGTGATAGTGATATAGTGTGATGTCTTTACTGGGCTAGTGTAGCTCATTCCTTACTTAACCATTTCAGATCAGGAGGACTTGGTTCCCGAGCCTGATCTACAAGAAGACGGCGATTAGATACCTAGATGTTTATTAGTTTCTTTTATAGTCTTTCATTTCTAGTATTTCTTTTAAAGGATTTATTTTCGGTATTATTAGTACGTTTAAGTTATTGTGTAAGGGATATTAATTAGAACCTTTTATTTCGCTTTCGCACTTATATTCTTTATATACATTTCTTTTTTAAATTTCCAGGG